GGTATTTTTATCTTTTTGTTTTTTAATCATCTCATCAACATCTGGCCTTTGTTTTTCTTCAGAAGTCAGCTGTTGGTCTTATTGTTCTTTGAAGATTAGATACCTTTTTGCTCTAGTGGTTTTTAAGATTTTCTTTCTATCTTGGCTTTTAGCTGTTTTGCTATGATATGCCATGCTAGTCAGCCTCTAAGATGGCCAGTATTTCCTGCCTTCTGATATTCATGCTTCTGTATATTCCCCTCTTCTTTGATGTGGGCTGGATACTGCTTTGCTTTGCATCAATAGAGTATGGCAGAAGAGTTGGTTTCTTTTTGATACCTTTTAAAGTGGTTTATTTATTTTTTAACAGCTCTTATACACATTTTTAATTGTTCTCAGTGGAAAAGTTACTCTGATACAGTTATTCACACAGAATGACCTTCATTGTATATAGAACTAAAGATAAATTATGTTTTCTTGGATGCTATTCTAGAAGCAGCTCTCCTACACACCTGCAAATGAGGAACTTGCTAAGAAGATACTGTCCATTTCTTCTGGAAGGCATATTGAATGATACCTAGGGCACTAAACACTTGTCTACTGAGACCTTCTCTAGTTTGTGTCCTTCGCTAGCTTGTACCAGCTAAATGTGCATTTCTCAAAAAGTCATTTTTAAAGCTATTTGTACCAGTTGTATTTATTTTATAATTGCACAACTTTATTATATAATATACAATTTTATGACAAGTTTATTTTTCTGTGAAAAAGTATTTAAATTATTTTGAAAAACTATATAGGTGAATTGATAAAACAGTTATTGGTGAAATTGTTAGTTATGTTTTATCAAACTATAAAACATATTTATGATAAAAGATATTTAGAATTATGAAATTTGTTACAGACTGAGGATCCCACACACCAAGATCTAATGGCTATGGTATGTTTGCATAGTAAAAAGTATTTGGATTTATGCTATGGTAAGCCAGATTGAACAAATTGCATGTATGAACAAATCCTATATACAGATGAATATACATGCATTTTTTTAAGTAAAAGTAAGGTACATATTTGTTCTTTGTTATGATTTCTGCTTTATTTGACCTTTTGTAGCATGTGAACCAATACTGGTTCTAACTGCATCTTATAAGAGGACTTTTCCTATACTGTTAAATACTTAGAAGATGTTTTAGCTTGCCCTTTCACATAGAATTTGCAGACTTTTAAATTGAATAATTTGCATAGTATTTAGGTTATGTTTTAGGTAATAGCACTAACTAAAATCCATAAATTAATGTGTTTATTTACTAAATACATAAAAGCCTCTTTTAGACTGAAATGTTCAGCCAGAACTTAAACAGAAAACAGATAATTGTTTGGTGACTCTTGCCCATTTACTAACAACTTCCGTAAATTATACAGAATGTTTATCTGTATATAAAAATTGCCAGATATTTATGTTTTCTTTTGTTTAATTTATATTTTGTTTAATTTATATTCTCAAAATAATTTATATTTTGTGTAATTTATATTCTGTTGATGAGAATCAAGATCTTTTCATTAAACATTTATAGCATGACTGCTATGAACAGACCTATCGAGGCAAATAAGATACATTCCTGTTCCTCAAAGAGATTATAGTTCAGAAAGCCATTTAAATAAAGAATTATAGCATAATCAAAGGTGCCTTTCTGCTTTTTCTTATGAGTATAAATTTGCCAATGTATAAATAAGACTTTTGTATGGTGGTATAATTAAATAATAGTTTTTAAATATGTGATCTCTGTAACCTTTGCTTTTACATTTATGTAGACCTCAAGGTCAGGGATGAAGTAGGTGGAGTCATTGAACTTCCTCAAACCTTTAACAAATTAGGAAATGACAATTGATATTAAATACTTTTATACAGTTCTCATTTTATAATATTTTACTTGTTTTGCTCCCACTGACTTTACTCTTGGAATGCCTTTATACCTAATATTTCATAATATCAGAGCTTCTATTTTACCGTGAATTTCTTATAGACAGATTCTCTATTCTCTGAATGCGATTTGTTCATTCTGGCTTACCATAGCATAAGTCCAAATATTTTTTCCTATGTAAACATACCATAGCCATTAGGTCTTGGTGTGTGGGATCCTCAGCCTGTCACAAATTTCATTATGCCATCTGCTTCAACCTGAGCTGTGTATCTTCTGCTGGCAGACTTTATTGAAGTTGTCATGGCTCAGGATAAAAAAAAAATCAGTCTTGGCATAAGAAGCTTACTTTTGAAAAAGTAATAATTGATCGTGTCTGCTATAGATTTTAAAATAAACATTTAAAAGGATTCCCAAAAGTCTCTTCTCATCACATTGATCTCTTTTTCATCTGTGATTGTAGATAGCCAATATAATGGTTATTGGTAACTTTGGTAACTTAATGAGTTTTCTGTTTTATTTTTAAGGATAGGTAACTCTTATGTGTAGATTTTGGTGACATATTGTGAAATATTTTGATAGCTTTTGCCAGGGGATGTTCTTTGCCTAATGTTTTATTTCAAAAATGATATCTAAAATGTTTTGTGTATAATACAAGGACTGTATGTTTTGTGTATAATACAAGGATGATAGGAACACCATGATGAAAAAAATTTAGGTCACAAACAGCTTAGGTGTGTGACTTTACATGATTTCATCATCCTTAGAATTGAGATGATACTTGAAAGGTTGGTCAGGAGATTGGATCAGAATTAGATCCTTAAAAAATAGATAAACATTTTTTTCTGCCAATGTATGTTGAACATCAACTCTGTATAAGGCATTCTTCTAGAGAATGAGGGCATAGTAAAAACAAAATAGTCACAAATTTCCGCTGGAGAGTTTTTGCATTCTAGTCTATCTCCACTGACTGGGATGAAAGCTTCATGACAGCAGGGTGTGGATCACGTGGTAATGAGTGCCATGAATTAAAACAGGGCAGAGTAAGTTTGTGAAGTATAATGGTGCTGTCTTAGATAGGGATGCCAAGGAGGATTTTTCTGTGGTGAGGCTGGGCACACCTGAATGAAATAAGGAAGCATGTGGATATTTGGAGAAGGATATACCTGTCTGGTAGAGTGGTATATCCTTGGCAGTTTGAGGCACAGTGAGGAGGGGAGCACAGCTAAGGCTAAGTGGGTGAGGGACAGACTGCTAGGAGATGAGGTCAGAGAGTGACCCCAAAACATCATTGAAGTAAGCTTTCTGTTAAGTAGTTATAGACAAAAAGTCACAATCCAGACACCCAACATAAATATGAAATTAGGATTGACTGCATTGCTTTATTATTATTTATATTTAACTTCGAACTCTTTGTAACAGGCACACACAAATAATTATAAAATCATTTCCCAAAATGGGATGATCTTTTCCATTGTTGTTACGTGTGTCATTGTACTTAGAGTTAGCCAGTCAGCACAATTTGAGGGCACAGTCCTCCAGACTGCCAGTGCTGCCGCACACTTCTGATACCAACTGCGGCAAGTTAAGGTCCAGCTACAAACTTAAAGGTATAAGGATACATAAAACCACCCTCACTTATGATATCAGCTGCAAGTTTGCGAGGTTCCCCAGCCACCTTGAGGTGTCATAATTCACTAGAGAGTCTTCGAGAATCTCTGAAATCTGTTATACACATGATTATCATCTCTTGTAGGGAAAGGATGCAGTTAAAAGTCAGCCAAAGGAAGAGATGCATAGTGCAGATTATGGGAGGATTCCAAACTAAAAGCTTGTGTGACAAGCTTGTGCTTGATCTATGTGTGACAATATGTATAGAGTACAGCCATGTGTCATTAGGTGATTTCATCCTTGTGCAAACATTGTAGGGTATACTTACTCAAACCTAGGTGGTATAGCCTACCACACAACTAGGCAACAACTGTTGCTCCTAAGCTACCAACCTGTACAGCGTGTTACTATATGGAGTACTGTATGCAGTTGTAGCACAGTGGTAATTATATGTGTATCTAAATATAGAAAAAGTACAGTAAAAATGTGGTTAAAAGATAAAAAATGGTACACCTGTATAGGACAAACTTACCATGAATGGAGCCTGCAGGACTGGAAGTTACTATAGGTGAATCAGTGAGTGAGTGGTGAGTGAATGTGAAGGCCTAGGACATTACTGAACACTGCTAAATAGTCAATATACTGTATGCTACTAGATAGCCATTATAATGATTGGGTTATTGGTAACTTTGGTAACTTAATGAGTTTTCTGTTTTATTTTTAAGGACAGGTAAAAAACTTATGCATAGAGTTTATACATAAGTTATAAATACTGTACACCTAGGCTATACTAAATTTACAAAAACTTTTCTTTCTTCAATAATAAATTACCTTGGCTTACTGTAACTTTTTTTGCTTTATAAAGTTTTAATTTTTTTAAAAAAACTTTTGACTCCATAATAGCACTTAGCTTAAAGCACAAGCACATGTGTAGCTGTGTTTGACTGTGTTGCAAACCCAGGAATATTACCTGATCTTGGTGTTCAGAATTTTTTATTGGGGTGTTATTTCATAGGTGTGATTGATTGCCCTACCCATATGATTAAAATTCAACTCCGAGTTTGGGCTTATATCATGTGGCCTTGGGGCCCACCATGAAGGAGAAAGATACCTCTTCACTCAGGAAATTCTGAGAGAGGAAATTCTGAGAGTTCAGAGGTTACTTCATAGGATCTGAGGACAAAAAAATGTATGTCTGGATGTATTTGTGGGTGTGTTTTAATGAGTACCCTGAAGTTGAACCCTGGAAGTAATTAGTTTTTAAATTTTCCCATCTAATAAATGGTGCTGCATTGAACATTTAGTGATGCACACACATCTTTGTGTATTATCCTAATGTTTATCCTTGAAATAAATTTCCCAAAATAGAATTGCTGGATCAAAGGATTCGGACATTTTGAAATTTCATATGTACGTCCTTGTACCCTTGGAATATTTCCTATGAAATAGTTTATGGAATGTCAAAATTCTTAATACTCCCTGTATTACTCTTAGGTAAATATTGCAACTTCAGCAACTTCAAATATTGAATATGCCCACATTCCTCATCTCAGCCCAGCTGTGATTCCTACTCTGCAAAATGAATCGTTTTTATTATCCCCAAACAATGGGAATCTGGAAGCGCTTACAGGATCTGGTATTCCACACATTAATGGGAAACCTGCTTGTGATGAATTTGATCAGCTTATCAAAAATATGGCCCAGGTAAGAACATTTCTTTCTGTTATTGTAATACCTTTAATAATTTAAGAATGTGATCAAATTGTGGATAATTTGGAGAATATAGTGACATTTATAACATCTGAAACAATTGGAACAAAAAGTTGTGGGAGTTTAGATGGTTCAGAGATTTTCTAGTACAGTTTTATCATCATTTAAATTTGAGTATTATATGTTGTATTATAGAAATATTCTTCAGGATAAAGTGCTAACAATTACCTTGGAAAAATTTTTTTCAGTTTCTTTTTATTCTAAACAAAGAAATGGTTCTAATAAGATGACTGTTATTGCAATAATTGGCTTTTAATTTAAGTTTTTTTTGAGACATGTCTTGCTGTGTCACCCACACTGGAGTGCAGTGTTGTGACAGCTCTAAACTCCTGGGCTCAAGGGATTCTTCTGCCTCAGTCTCTTGAGTGTCTAGGACTATAGACGTGTGCCACCACACTCAGCTAAGTTTTAATTTTATTTTTTATAGAGATAGGGTCACATTATGTAGCCCAGTTTGGTCGCTAACTCCTGGCTTCAGGTGATCCTCCCACCTTGGCCTCCCAAAGTGCTGGGATTTACAGGCGTGAACCACCATGCATGGCCTGGCTTTTAATTTTGTTTCTTTTTTTGTTTCCTAAACAGGGTCGCCATGTAGAAGTTTTTGAGCTCCTCAAACCTCCATCTGGAGGCCTTGGGTTTAGTGTTGTGGGACTAAGAAGTGAAAACAGAGGAGAGCTGGGAATATTTGTACAAGAGATACAAGAGGGCAGTGTGGCTCATAGGTGAGATGGTCACAGCGTCTACTTTGTTTTCGATACCACATTCTGAAGGTTTTGGTCACTGTGCGGGAATTTAGAAAGATAATAATGAATAGAAACAAATAATTGAACATAATCTGGTTATTAACCAGTTTTTAGAAGTCATTAACATTGTTGTGATAAAATAGCAAGTCCTTTGAAATGGGAGTAGCTTTTAAATATAGTCATAACTTACTTAAGTTTTGGTAAGGAAAGAAAAATTTGAGGATAACATTATTTTGATTGTTAATTAAATGGGCTCTTTTTGGTTAGATTTTAAAAATCACTATACTGGAAATGACCCAAAATAATTCGAGTTGCATTTGTTTATATACCCAAAGCAATAATTTAATATAGTTGTCCATCAGTATCCGTGGGGAATTGGTTCCAGGACTCCTGCAGATACTAAAGTCTGCAGATGCTCAAGTCCCTTATATAAAGTGGTATAGTATTTGTATATAACCTGTGCACATTCTTCCATATATTTTAAATCATCTTTAACTTATAATGCCTAACACAATGCAAATCCTATGTAAATATTAGTAGTCATGCTGTATTTTTAAAATTTGTGTGTTTTTTTTTTTTTATTGTTGTGGCATTACTTTTTCTGAGTATATTTGATCCCCAGTTGGTTGAATCTGTGGATGTGGAACCCATGGATACAGAGGGCCAACTGTATAGGTATATCCACTTTCATTTTTAGAAGATGGGAATATCCAAGATGTCATGGAGGCTGAATGGGGAGCTGAAATAAAGAGTACTTTTAAATGGGAGGAGTTGAGTAGGAGTAGCAGTGGAATAACCTTACGAGAGTTGATGACCTGCAGCCAAAGCGTATATTTTTTTAAAAGTAGAACTGCAGGAAAAAGCTTAGAGTATTGGAATTAAAACTAGGATTAAAAATGACTTGAACATACGTGCTAAAGAAGCTGTCATTTCCTTGAGAACTCTCAGATTGTCTTTTATCCCCTTTTTCATCCTTGATAGAGATGGAAGATTGAAAGAAACTGATCAAATTCTTGCTATCAATGGACAGGCTCTTGATCAGACAATTACACATCAGCAGGCTGTCAGCATCCTGCAGAAAGCCAAGGATACTGTCCAGCTAGTTATCGCCAGAGGCTCTTTGCCTCAGCTCGTCAGCCCCATAGTTTCCCGTTCTCCATCTGCAGCCAGCACCATTTCAGCTCACTCTAATCCAGTGAGTACTTAAAATTTTCAAAAGGAACAACGTATTTTTCAAGTTCTTTTTGGTTATCTCCAAGTTTCTAATTTGTGTAGGGTCTTTGCACTTCTTTAGTTTTTGTCTGACTATTATCTTTCCCTAGCCTGGAATATTTGTTCTTTAAGCATGATAAAGCTTCTAGGTTCTGAAACAACCATTACTTTTCTTTGTGTAGTTTTTTCCTTTGACAGCATTCCTTAAAAATGGAAAATGTAGTCCTTTAACAAAAATTGACTTTATCTGTAGACAAATACATTGTTGATTTTGATTTTAAAATTATACAATTATATTGTTACAGTTAGCTGTCAGTAACTTTTAAGAAGTCATCTAATTTGGAATCCTGCCTCAAGGCAGGATTGTGCAGAAGACATTCTTAACATGTGACCTTTTTTTTTCCCTTGATCTTTTTCTTTTTTTGTAAGAAGTGCTACAAAAGATCTTGCAAATCAGTGCCTGTCTTTAACTGCTGAAGTGAAATCATTATGATGATATATTGATAATTTCAAGAATGGTTCTGTCAGTAGCGCTTACATTCTGTTGAAAGGGAAGTATACCAAGTGAAAGGGACATTGTTAGGACTCATTATGTCTGAATTTAATTATTTAATAACCACAAAAATTTCTACTGTAATATAAAATGTTAGTGCTTTATAAATTTCTACAAATTCATATATGAGCTTTGTTTGTAGGTTCACTGGCAACACGTGGAAACTATTGAATTGGTGAATGACGGATCTGGTTTGGGATTTGGCATCATAGGAGGAAAAGCAACTGGTGTGATAGTAAAAACCATTCTGCCTGGAGGAGTAGCTGATCAGGTAGGCTACATCAATAGATCTTTTATGCTATGTTATCAAATAATATGGGTACATCTTTTACATTTTTTTTGTTATAGAGAAGAAACTTTGGCCTTAGATGATGCCAAAGAAATTGAGTTAGAATCTTTCGTTTTATTGAGTGTCCCTGAAGTGTTGTCTTAGACCTAGGGGAGGAATACCTTTGAAAAGGGACATTAATCTTAAATTATAGTTTTAGACAATGGGCTTAACACTTTTGAACCTCAGACTAAAGCCAAGGTTATGGATTTGATAATTGTGGAGGTAGCTACTATTTTATAGTCATAATTCATATTTATAAACCTAGCCAGCTGTTTTGTAGTCACAAGGTATTATGGGAAAATATACTTTATTATTCAGGCAAAAAAATTCAACTTGTTGCTTTAGTGATGGGTCACTGATATCGTCTTTGTATATGAAACACAGCCTGTTTTTATCACTTAAGTAGTTTATTGAGGCATTTTCATTTATGATATGTGATATTGTTGCAATATATGTGAGAAAAGATTTAACACATTTGTTATGATTTATATTTTAATTTGATAAGGCTTACTGGTTTAAGTAAGTTTTGCCTTGATTATAACTTTTTAAAAAATAAAGTGGTTGTTCGTACATGTGTGTCTGAACTTAAACTAGGAAGTCCAGTTCATCAAATATTTCCTGTATTCATAAATGAAATCCCTGTTTAATGACAACCTTGTCAGTGGGGGTATTAACAGTAATATAATAGTATGCAAATTTTTCTTCCTTTTAAACATTAGCTAGCATCTAGCAGCATCAAATGAAATGTCTCTAGTTGACTAGCATGTGATATTTACATGCTTTATCTTCAGTATGGAGCTGCACTTTTCAATACTGTAGCTGTCTGCATATCACCTTTAAAATTAAAATTTAAGTTAATTAAAATTAAATGAAATAACAAGTTCAGTTTCTCAGTTGGACTAGCCACATTTCAAGAGCTCCATAGCTGTTGTATTGAGTAGTGCAGAAGAGTGCCATCATTGCAGAAAGTTAATGGACTGCATGTGTATGGAGGCTCATAGACTGCTTTTCACTCCTCACATCTTTCAGAATTTTCACTACACAAGTATTTCACCTGCACATGAGTTCTTTTGGGACATTTATAATAGAAATAGCCAGGCAGAAAGTTGTGATATTAATATAATGCTTTCTTGTGGTTTATACCATATTTTAGGTAATATATATTTGCATAGTGACTTATATACAACTTTGCTTAATGGCATTTTTTTCTTTCCCTCCAAAAAATTCACAAAAAGGCATTTGGGTAGAAATCAAAGTGAAAAGTTCGTATGAACTCTTGGTAGGTAGAAGTCAAAATGGAAAGTTGATATGAACTATTGATTTAAAGAATATTTGTAGATTTCATTTATTGCATCACACCGAATGATGCTAAGATGTTTCAAAAGACAGTTCATATTATAACCGTGTGTTTTATGTCCTGTTTGGTAACTCATATTATTGCTTTTTAAAAAATTAATCCCCTCTCCTCATTTGCGATTTTTCTGATGCAGTTAAAATAATAATAGTCTAATTATTCAATATTGTTTTACTCAGCATGGGCGTTTATGCAGTGGAGACCACATTCTAAAGATTGGTGACACAGATCTAGCAGGAATGAGCAGTGAGCAAGTAGCACAAGTCCTTAGGCAATGTGGAAATAGAGTTAAGTTGATGATTGCAAGAGGTGCCATAGAAGAACATACAGCACCCACTGCTTTGGGCATCACCCTCTCCTCATCCCCAACTTCAACTCCAGAGTTGCGGGTAAGTAGTTAAGAATAGTTAATGTGAAAGTCAGAGAAATAGCACTTAGATGACGACAGTGATGTTTATTTAGAAACTAGACTTACTAATGTTCATATATTAGTGCTAAATAATGTAATGAAATTCAAATGTAGGGATGCTTTAGCACTAATAATATTTTATTAATCAGGAATAATGTGTAAAATGAAAAACAGGTTGTTTAAAAATGCTAGATTATTTTACATTTTTATGTAAGCAGCACATTTGTGAGGATAATGTTTAAAAGTATGGATAAAAGTTTAAAAATTATTTGGTACTGATATCTAAAATGTTTAATTCTGTCTTTTTCTCAGTTAGAAGACTCTCTGTAAGGTGGGTCATAGTTCTAATCATTCTCTTTCATCAACCTTCCATTAGTATTTTTGTTTTTGTTTTGAATGTGTGGAGGTTGAGGAGTGAGGGCAGGCTTGGTGGGCATGAAAAAGGCTTACTAAAACCTTTTAGTGTTATTGTTTTAAAGTATATCTTAGAACTATTATCAGATTTGTAATAAGTAGTCATTATTCTGACCCAGTTATATACTTTTAAACAAAAGTTATTCTTTTGGTGTTATAACAAAAGCTCTATTCATATGCATAGTATTCCATCCTTGTCCTTAACTTGATATGGAAAAAGCTAGAAAATTTTGAAATTATTGGAAAGCAGTGGGTATATCAGCAGATTTATAGGTCACCAGACTACAGAAGATAAATATTAACAAAATAATTTATCCAGAAATCTCTTAAATATTTAAGAAGAGAATTACACCCAGTTTCTAGGTAAGCCTTATAGTAAATACAAGTCCTATATTATTTTCCCATAGATGTAAAAAAATCTGTTTTGTTCTATTGAAGTTTTTTCTAAGCAGTTGCTACAAATTTTTTTTTAATATCCTAACCTCCTCCACAAGCCCTTTAAAACTTTATTAGAACACTTGTAATTTCCATGATTCTGTTGTTTTTAGGAATTGAATTTGGTTACTATTTTTTGCAAAGAGAAAGAAGTAAAGAAAGCTTGTTTATGAAAGTGTTTAAATGGCATTCTTTTGTGGTAAACAAAACATTTTATTCAGCGATATATAAATGAATGCAATACCGAAAACCACTTGATATAATTGAAAGCTTAGAAAAATATCTGTTCTGTGCATATCATCATTTCTGAAGCTTGTGCCCCTTTTAAAACCATTCGATAGTCAAATTGCCACTCTCTAAAATAGCACTCGCATAAGTCTTATTAAAAATAGAAAACACATTTGTTTCAATTGAAGCAGATTTCATCCTGTCATTTTCTTGTAATTATCTAAACTTTAAACTTTTGCTAAGTTTGCACAGATAATTATGTGCAATGAAAAAAATAAATCAAACTTTACTGTAAAATTATATCTCATTTAAGTGGACTGTCAGAGTTTGTTTAAAGAAATTAGAAAACATCAGCTAGCCCCAACCTGACTGTCCATTAGACTCTATAGCTTTGATTTTGTTGTGCCCTTCCTACAGTTCTCTGTAGCATCTGCTGACACCATACTAATACATAGTACCAATAGCTTATCGATGATATATTGTACCAATTAACTAGTGCTTAATTTTAGGGAGACTTGCTCTTCTGTCCAACATAGAATTAGTAACAATTCTATTAGAGAAGGCTGACATCTGAGAAACCCACTTTCAGCTCTCATTCAGGATGCTGAATTATGAGGAATTATGAGGAATAATGAATTAAGACATGTAAAGTCTTAATTCTGAGTTACACACAAACTGCTCAATAAATGGTAGCTTGTCTAGTTGTTGTTATTCTTTTCCTGATAGACAGTTGACAAAGGTGATATTTTCTTTCTAGATTAAGTGGCAAAGCTAGATTTAACTTGTTGATCTGAATTCATAACATTAGTTTTTCAGCTATACTGCATCCTAACTTCTTCAGAAATTAAGATGAGCCATATCTGAAAATAGAGTTTGCTAAAAAAAAAACTGTTTGATTTAAAATTTAGTATACGCAAACAATAATGTATTCTCTGATAAGGGAAGGTTCAATCTTATTCCTAACATCCCTTTCTGAGAAAAAATATGATGATGCCTATCCCTGTGTTCAGGATTAAAGGTATCATCTCTATTATAATTCTCTGCTAGAGAATTAAAGTAGGCCCCTGGCTTTCTTTTTACATATTTATTTCACTGTATATTTATTGATTTTATTTTAGGTTGATGCTTCTACTCAGAAAGGTGAAGAAAGTGAGACATTTGATGTAGAACTCACTAAAAATGTCCAAGGATTAGGAATTACCATTGCTGGTTACATTGGAGATAAAAAATTGGGTAATTTTAAACATTAAATATTCTTTTAAACTTGGCAGTTACCTCTGATATCTCTTACAGAATATTGAGTTGATACTACATGTTTCACATTGTTGGATAAACTGGTTGAAAACTTCCTTAGGAATAATTTAGTGTAGGCGACTCTTATATTGTATTTAAGACAGACAAAACAATTATTTTATTCCTTAGCCTATGTTTCTACTAGATGATACATATTTATTCTAAATTAGAGCTTTATATTTGGAGAATTGAAGATGGATATTCTTTGAATGTGCTTTGAAAATTGTGAAAAATAACCTATTTCTAATCTTAGAACCTTCAGGAATCTTTGTAAAGAGCATTACAAAAAGCAGTGCTGTTGAGCATGATGGCAGAATCCAAATTGGGGACCAAATTATAGCAGTAAGTTACACATTTAACAATACCTTTGTTAATTTTCATAGTTGAGAATTGCATTCTCCTAGTTTACTTAGTTTTGAGAGCTACAGTTAACTCTCTACTAAAAAAATACCTCTGTACTAAAAAAAGCTTAAGCTTTTTAGGTGACTTGAGGCTCTTTTTACAATTACCCTTTTTATTATTTTGTGGAAGTAAAATAAGGGCATTGGATATAAGCTTTACTAGTCTCAGTTCGGAAGGGGAGACTTCTTTCTTGAATAATTCCTGATATATCTAATTTCTGGTTGTAATGAAGTTATTATATTAATATTACACTTATTATACTTTCCTTGCAGATACTCCAGAGGTAGAGACCAGATGTCCAGTACCTTTAGAGTACTGCAATATGAATTAGGGATGCCTGCATTTTTTTTTTTAATCAGCAAAATGATACTGTTCTTGTTGGCTTTATGGCCGGGGCTCCTTTCAGCCCTAAGGGTATATAAGAATGGAAAAAAAAATCTAGCTTCTTTTAATTAGATCAAGCTATCATTGTTATCATTCTAACATCAATGTGTTTTAAACATATGGCTATTCAAGGCAGTGTACAAAAGAGTCCAACTTTAATTTCAGTGTTCAGTTGATACTGGACTCCCCAGACTGCAGCCTGAAACAGAAATTCAAGAGACCCTGCACCAAAACTGCCTGATCAAATAAGTTTAGGGGAAAACCGCCTATAGTATAGTCTCCTATGAATTCACAGTGCACATGGAAAAATTGAAGACAACTGGGTGTCTTCAATGAGCTGGTGGCTCATGCCCTGTAATCCCAACACAGGCAGATCCTATCTCTGAAAAAAAAAAAAAATTGCTGAGAACGATGGTGTCTGCCTATAGTCCCAGCTACTTGGGAAGCCAAGGCGGGAGGATTCCTTGAGTCTAGGAGTTCAAGGCTGTAGTGAGCTATGATTGCACCATTGCACTCCAGCCTGGCCAACAGAATGAGATCTTGTCTCTAAAAAAAGACACACACACACACACACACACACACACACACACACACACGAGAGTTCTGCAATAGAGAAACCTGTTTATCTGTTTTACCTTAGTGTTTACTAAACTTTTGTAATTGTGAGGTCCTTATTCTTCCAAACATATATTCATATTCTTTGAAAGACATCTTGAGGGAATGCTGATATATCTTAATAGGTATTTGTTTATGCTTAATAATAGTGAGAAAGTAGGATATTAAGATAGAGGAGTCCTTGTTCATAGCAATATTATTCACAATCACCATGACATGGAAGCAACCCAAATACTATGAATGGATAAACAAAATGGGATATATATATATATCTCCAATAGAATGTTATTCAGTCTTTAAAAAGAAGGAAGTCTTATCACATGCTTCAACACTGAAAAACCTTGAGGACATTATGCTAAGTGAAATAAGTCACAAAAAGGCAAATACAGTAGGATTTCACTTACATGAAGTATCTAAAATAGACTTATGGAAACAGAAACTAGAATAGTGGCTCCCAGGGACTGGGAAGAGGGATAAATGAGGAGTTGTTCAGTGGGTATACTTCTGCAGTTCTGCAAGATGAAAAAATTCTGGAGACCTGTTGCATAATAATGTGAATATACTTAACACTACTGAATTGTACTATTCAAAATGGGTAAGATGGTAAATATTGTGTGTTTTCCTACCACTATTTTAAAAAATAAAGGAATCCTTTATCTCTCCCTTTAAGTCCACATTGTAGCTCCATGAGTCTTCTTGGGTTTAGTTCTGTGAAACTCCTGCCTACACCTGTTCATCTCTTCAAATCTATACTAAAGATCAAATTATGCTTGCCACCTCATCTGGCTATATGCCTGAAATGAGCTTTCTCTATGTATCTTCATTTTACCATACAATGTAAATGAATTACTGTACATTTTTTTTTGTTTTGGGGGAAAGTGAAAGAGAGAAGGAATAGTTACGGAGTCTAAATCCATATCTGATGCTGAATTACAAATTGAAAGCATAGCAAATTTACTCTTTTTTCTCCTGTTATCTATATTAATCAATTAGAAAGCTTTTTAAAAAATCAACTTGATTGAAATATAATTCAGATACCATACAATTCACCCATTTAAAATGTACAGTACAATAGCTTTTAGTATATTCAGAGTTTGCATTCATTACCACGATGAATTGTAAAACATTTTCAGTACCCTAAAAACATTTTCAGTACCCCTTAGCATTCACTTTCTCCCCCATTCTCCCAGTTCTAGGCAACCACCAGTCTACTTCCTGTCTCTATGGATTTGCCTATTCTGGATATTTCATGTGAATGGAATCATACAAGACGTGGTTCTTTGTGACTGACTCCTTTCACTTAGCATAATGCTTTCAAGTTTCATCTGTGTTGTAGCATGTATCAGTCTTCATTTCCCTTTATTGCTGAATAATATTCCTTTATATGGATATACCATATTTTTTTTTACCCATTCATCAATTGATGGACATTTGGATTGTTTCTACTTTTTGGCTATTATGAATAATGCTGCTGTGAACGTTCATGTACAAGCTTTTAAGTAGGTGTATGTTTTCATTTTTCTTGGGTGTATACTTAGGAGTGGAATTGCTGAATCTTATAATTCTGTATTTTACTACATATCAAACTTCCTGATTCAGTTTCTTCACTTACAAAGTTGGGATAAGGAAAATTCTCTTGTGTGATGTTCAGGAAAATCAAATGAGTGTTTTGTTGAAAATACCTGTTAGCAGTTTAATAATTAAGCCGATATTAATTATTTAGAGAGTCTAAAATGATTACATATTTGAAGGGTCTCATGATAACTTCCCTCTAAATTTGTCATTATCTTCATTCTTGTACAAGTGGAATCTCAAATATAATTCCTCTTAGGCAAGGTCAGTGATGAAGGAAATTGTTGATGCAAAGGTGGAAGAATCTTTTCTCTGAAATGTTTTCTTGCTTTCAATAAAATCACTTGACTTCACTCTCATCAGTATTCTGATTTGTAATTTTTAGCGAACATTCTTTTACTACAAAGATACAAACATTTTAAAATCCTGAAGAATATCATGCAATGCTTTTGATCATGTATTAATTTTTTACTAAATATCACCATCTTGTGGACTTTTGAGATATTTGCAGCAATGTTCTTCACATTTAGTTGCATTTTCACAACTGCAGTCTTTGTCTGTTTGTTTGATTTTTGTTTGGACAGCAGCTATTAGAAGTATAATCTGTTTTTATTTTGTGGTTGTTGAAGTGATGAGATTAAGAAATTATTTCTTACTATTTTGATGAAGTGTTATTTTGTAACTTAAAAATATTTTGTTACAAGGTTCTTGTTTTACACATTGTGTTCTGTGGACTCCTACATCCACAGGGTTTCACTATAGGCATTACAGTGACAAGGAATAGACTGAATTTCTATTTTTCCCATTTCATATGTTGATATTCTGTTAATAACTTGATTATTTGACAAAAGGATCCTGTTGTGTTTTCAAAAGTTGACCAAACTTGTCATAAGATGAAAACATACACTCATTCTTTTTAGTTTGATATTCAATATCTGTGCTAAAAGCAGTAGGAAATTATAATTGATAAAAAATTATTAAATAAGCATATAAATAAGGAAAAGTATCACATGTTGCCTTTGATTTTCTGTGACTGTGTTCATAGATTGAAGTTCTCTATACGTATAGGATATGTTGGAGGAGGCCCTGGCAAGCTGGGTTGAGTATGCTCAGGGGCCAGATTTTGTAAGTTGTTGCAACGAGTATTTCTCCCCTGTAATTGTTCCTGTTAATTGTGGTGTCTGCAGTGCACATTATGAGATGTTGGCTCTCTTCTTTTTTTTAATTTTAGTCTTGGCCAGGTGGTCTTGAACTCCTGGGCTTGACAGATCCTCTCCCCTCTGCCTCCCAAAGTGCTGTGATTACAGGTATGAGCCACCGCACCCTGCCTGGATCTCTTCTTTTCATGAGACAGCGCATAGGCAATTTGCTGCCATTATACTACCTAGTTCTACTGCACTCTTCTCTGTGGTACCATGGGTTCTGAACTGATTTCTTGACTCTCTTGTGATAAAGTGGAACCAGAGCTAACCAGGACCTCTTAGGCTTCAGTGACTTTGGCTTATATATAGCATGGGTGTGATTATATTGAAGAGAAACCTCTCCCATGAAAGCCTTGGAGATTTTTATGTTTATTACTCACTTCTTTACTCTTTTAATAATAATACCAGCTTCTGAGTATTTTCCCATTACAAAGTGCCAAGTGGTATAATTCTTGGAAAATAGATCTTCTTATTTCCATGTTACAGATGAAGATAACTAAGACATTTGAACAGAAGTCTAGGTTTAAAAGTTCATGACTGTTCCATTATAGCAATTTCTTCTGTGCTAGTATTATTCTCTGACATTTGAGTAAGGAATCCATTTTGAAATCCAAGTCATCATGTTCAGAAGATAAAGAAAAAAAATGCATTTTTAAACATACTTTTAGTTTATTGTTATTAAAATCATACACATTAGATTTTTCTTAATAAAACTTCACTTTTAATAGAATTGAACAATACAAATGTTTTGCAGATAAAAAGAGCCTAAAGTTCTATGTATTTTATGAATATTCATGGAGCCCCAACGTGGAGATTTTTGCTGTTTTTTTTCCTTTATTAGTGTGAGAGTAAATAGCAAGTTCATTTATTTTAGATTAATTTTTGTCTTTAAGGTTTAAAGAATATAAAATTTGAACATGGTTAAAAAGCTTTCTCATAGAAACCACTAGTTTATGGTTTAAAATTTAGAAAAATTCCATATATTTATATTTAAATAGCATCATATTATATTTTTCTATACCTTTTTATTTTACTTAAAAATTTACCTGGGAGAGGTAGTTATGTAAGCACATGTAGGTCTGTTGTGATATATTGAGGCCGGCTTAATCATGGATAGTTACGTTGTTTACAGTTTGTTGTTACAGACAGATTATTACATACTACCTT